TCTCCAGTATGGATGACCTGATGGGTAGTTAAGTTCGAATGAACACTAAAGGCTTTGCCACACTCATTACATTTGTAAGGTTTCTCTCCAGTATGAACTCTCTGATGACTCGCAAGGTGTGAATTATAACTGAAAACCTTACCACATTCATTGCATTTGTAAGGTTTCTCTCCAGTATGAATTCTCCAATGCCTTGCAAGGCTTGAAGTTTGACTGAAGACTTTACCACATTCATTACACTTGTATGGTTTCTCCCCAGTGTGAATTCTCTGATGAGTTGCAAGGCTTGAAGTCTGACTGAACACCTTGCCACATTCATTGCATTTGTAAGGTTTCTCACCACTATGAATTGTCTGATGGTTGCTAAGTGTTGACCTCACACTAAAGGCTTTGCCACACACATTACACTTGTAAGGTTTCTCTCCAATGTGAATTTTCTGATGTAGTGCAAGGCATGAATTGCGACTGAAGACCTTGTCACATTCATAACATTTGTAAGGTTTCTCTCCAGTATGAACTCTCCGATGCAGTGCAAGGCATGAGTTACGACTGAAACCTTTGTCACATTCATTACATTTGTATGGTTTCTCTCCAGTGTGAACTCTCCGATGACGCGCAAGGTTTGATTTTTGACTAAAGACCTTGCCACATAGATCACATTTATATTGTTTCTCTCCAGAATGACTTACCTGATGTACAGTCATGTGGGAGCCATGATTCAAGGCTTTGTCGCACTCATTGTATCTGTAAGGTTTTTCCCTAATGCATGATTTCTGTTCTTGTGTGAGTAATGAAGAACAGACGAAATCAGTCCCATATTTATTAGAAATATGGGTTTTGACGGTAGAAGAAATTATTTGGGGTGCTGAGACTGAGGAACCATGGTTGACAGACTTCTCAACATGGTTACATTCATAAATTTTCCCTTCAGCCTGAAATTGCTGCAGTTCAGGGGGATGTGGTAGAAAGCTTAATCCAAGCTGATTTTTAATAGACTTGTTTTCTATACCACTTCTATCATGTTGGTCTCTTCTACAAGTAAGATTTTCTTTTGGGGCCATAGTCGCTTTGTTGTAATTTCTTTCGTTATCTCTCCACTGAGAGTCAAAGTCATGTATTTTTTTCTTCATTTCCCTGAAGCAAAACTCTTCGATGTCATGTTTTTCATGTTGTTCCAATGTCACTGTGTGGAATACTTCTTCTCTGTTACTTTCCCGTTGCGGTGCTAATTCCTTGATCATACAGTTACGAGAGAGATCTATAAGAAATAAAAAACCATAGGTTTCCAATTAGAGACAGTATATAAATATTTTATACTGAATAACAGAATTACACAAAAAGCAATATTTATACACAACAGAGTTATAAAACTTCCCAATCAAGATCTTTAATTTTTAGGAACACAAAGGAATCACATTCTTTAGTAAAAAAAAGGTGATCATATGTAATTCAAATGAATTCTAGGGAAGGACAGTTTCAAACATCCTATGACCAAAACACATTATTCAAACCTATGTTAGCCCTGAAAGGAGTATTTTTTCACCTTGACAACAAAGTACACACCGATTGGCAGAAAATACATGGCTGTCTCATTGTTGAAAGGATATAAATATTACATTTTACCTAGCTACAGCATATTTACTGTGCCCATATACATGAAAAAAGTGCTACACAATATATCATAATGGTAACTAAGCCGCAACAAACTTATGGAATAAGGTACATAAATGATAATTCTGAATTGCAAAACAGTAAGAGCACTGACAAAATGAGAAAAAAATTAATAAAACATTGTTAAAAATAGCTAATTTTTCTGAATACCTGTTATGAAACTATCTGTACCCACCCAGATCAGGCATTTTTGACATTAATGAGTGATGCATGTCAGTTACATTGCATGAAACTTACTAGAAACCCATCATCTGTAAATCATAACAATTAATTAATAAAACACTGTAGTAACCCATGATAAAACCAGCAAACCAAAAACTAGTAACTACACTTGTACAAAGTTACAGCCTGTAAATAATTCTCCCCTAAGAAAAAAACAAGTACTAGTTCAGAACCAGCACACGACCTGTGAACTGGAATATATGTTAAGCTCTCTGACATTTGATGCATGAGGTCAGGTAAATACATAGCATTATAAAGAAGGAGTGAAGAACAAAGTCAGAAATCACAATTATGACTTCACACCTGCACTTATACAACAAACAGCCAGTCAATAAAGCAATTCCCTATATATATGCATTGTCCTTTCGTGACCTAGTTCATCGACCACAAAATACACATAACAGAGTTTGTACTTGGCAAATTTATTAACTGAAATCAGAGAACATAATGTTTAGAACGGACTGAAAAATAAAAACAAACAAAATAGAATGTAGTCTCTACGGTCTGAATATGTTGGCCAAAATTCATATGCTAAGGTCCTATTCCCTAGTGTAATGTTGTTGCAGATGGGGCATTTGGGATATAATTAGGTCATGAGGTTGGACTACTCAAAAATAGGATTAATGTCCTTACAGGACGAGATGTAAGAGCTTGTTTTATCTTGCCCTTTCCATCATGTGGGACAGTCAGAAGATGGCTGGGGTAATCCAGGCAGCGGGCCTGCACCAGGAACTGATTCACCTGGCTCCTTAATTTTGACTTCCCAGCCTTCAGGTCTGGGAGATACAAATTTCTGTGGTTTAGTTCTCCTAGCCTATAGTATTTCTTTTTTTTTTTTTTTTTTTGAGACAGAATTTCGCTCTTGTCGCCCAGGCTGGAGTGCAATGGGGCAATCTTGGCTAAATGAAACCTCCGCCGCCTGGGTTCAAGTGATTGTCCTGCCTCAGTCTCCCAAGTAGCTGGGATTACAGGCGCCTACCACCATGCCTGGCTGATTTTTGTATTTTTAGTAGAGATAGGGTTTCACCATGTTGGCCAGGCTGGTCTCGAACTCCTGACCTCAGGTGATCTGCCCACTTCAGCCTTCCAAAGTGCTGGGATTTCAGGTGTGAGCCACCGTGCCTGGCCCGCCTGTGATATTTCTTATGGCATGATGAGTTACATAAGACAGAAAAAGGACAATCTCATCACAATCATCAGAGAAGGTTGATCAATCTTATTAAACAAAGAGACTTTGGGACTTTACTATAACACATGCAATATTCCAAGTAATCACACACCACCACCTTGTTTTAAAAACTTTCAGGTAAATTGTTATTATTTTTCAAATAAAGACATTAGGCCCACGGTATTCATGTATCTAATCTCAATTTTTACAGAAAATAAGAGAGAAAAACAGGACTAAATCCTGGGCCAGGAGGCTCAGACGTTTTTTTTTTTTTTTTTTCCTTTTTGAGACAGAGTCTCACTCTGTCGCCCAGGCTGGAGTGCAGTGGCGTGATCTCGGCTCACTGCAACCACTGCCTCCCAGGTTCAACCAATTCTCCTGCCTCAGCCTCCCGAGTAGCTGGGATTACAGGCACCTGCCACCATGCCTGGCTAATTTTTTAAAAATTTTTAGTAGAGAAGGAGTTTCACCATGTTGGCCAGGCTGGTTTCAAACTCCTGACCTCAAGTGATCCGACCACCTTGGACTCCCAAAGTGCTGGGATTACAGGCGTGAGCCACTGCGCCAGGCCACCAGACATGTTTTTAAGCACATGTCCACCCAGGCAGTATGGAAAACCTGGGTGGACATGTGCAGTGTTGAAAACTATCAGTCATGGCAAGAATGTACCCAGGCAAGGAGCACATGAAGAAAAGGAGATACAAGAGCTGGACTGTGTTGGTAATAGTGTTATTCAGTCAGCTCTCGTGGAAGGCAGCTATGCTCACCACTACACCACCAACACATCTAGTCAGTCAGCTCTCATGGATAATGGTATGTGAGTCATCACTTCCGACACATACTGATTTAGGCAGATCCTGACTTACAAAGCGGTTGAGTAGCATCTAGTCTTGCATACTGTAAGTAGTGTGGAGGGTGAAGAAGTCCTGTGGAAATTGGGGTGTTCAGGAATACAAAATCAATATGCTAAAAAGCAACAGTATATTCCATGCAGATCAAGGTATCATGTGAGGATAGGAGAGAGAAAGGGCAAGAGCACAGGGGAGGGAGGAATGGGAGTGTAGGAGGAAAATTTGTGCATGCATGTCTGTGGGATATAATTCCACTAGGACAGTTACAATTCTGACCTTGGGGCCGGGCGTGGTGGCTCACGCATGTAATCCCAGCACTTTGGGAGGCCGAGGTGGGTGGATCACCTGAGGTCGGGAGTTCAAGACCAGACTGACCAACATGGAGAAATTCTGTCTCTACTAAAAATAAAAAATTAGCCAGGTGTGATGGTGCATGCCTACAATCCCAGCTACTCAGAAGGCTGAGGCAGGAGCATCACTTGAACCTGGGAGGCGGAGGTTGCGGTGAGCTGAGATTGTGCCATTGTACTCCAGCCTGGGTGACAAGAGCGAAACTCCATCTCCAAAAAAAAAAAAAAAAGTATCTCAAAAAATACAGAATTTATGACTAAATGAAAAAGGTGTTCATTTATACCACATGTAAATGTACAAGATGAAAGTAGTAGTGGCTTAAACAAATGACACTGGACTTTAAAAACCGAGGCATTACAGCGGTGTGAAGCAAAAAAACAACAAATGAGAAAAAACCAAGGCACCATTCAGCTTCACAAGCTCCCTCCACAAGATGTGATGTGTCAACGCTGTATTTGTTGTAGGTTTGAACCTACAACAAATTGAACCCAGGCTGAACAAAGGTTTGTTGATGAGAATGAACAATGGAGCACACAGGATGGAAAATGAACAAATACGGCGTGAACAATAGTTTAGTCAAGAGCCTCACACGTATGATGCTGTGAACTTGGACAATGTCATCGCTAGGAGAACATCCCACACCGACTGCTGGCTTAGGGGAGATGATCATTAGTTTATGTGTCCAGCACGGTCACAGTGCCCTTCAGATACACTTTTGTGAGGCTCCTCAAAACTCGAAGGACAGCTGGAAACACTTGTCAATCAGGCTCGCCTGATATTTTGTATCTCATATCCTGGGCCATGCTGACAATTCTGCTCAGCGCTTTAAGGGGCATCTCTACATGTAGCAGGAGGCTATTCAATTATATTAGTCAAAGAGTTTTCCCTCACAAATTTCCTGTTATCACATAAACACCCTCCATAAGAGACTCCAGGAGAAGGTATGCATAATCTATAGGTTGGTTATCACAGCAGGAATACAGACAAATGACAGACCCTAGGGGTGTGTATATCAAAAGCCGGGTTTTGTTTTGTTTTTGAAATGGAGTCTCCCTCTGTTACCCAGGCTGTAGTGCAGTGGTGCCGTCTCAGCTAACTGCAACCTCTGCCTCGTGGGGTCATGTGATTCTCCTGCCTTGGCCTCCTGAGTAGCTGGGCTTACAGGCACACGCCACCACACCTGGCTAATTTTTGTATTTTTAGTAGAGACGGGGTTTTACCATGTTGGCCAGGTTGGTCTCGAACTCCTGATCTCAGGTGATCCACCTGCCTTGGCTTCCCAGAGTGCTGGGATTACAAGGCATGAGCCACCGTGCCCAGCCATGCCTGGCTAATTTTTGTATTTTAGTAGAGATGGGGTTTCACCATGTTGGTCAGTCTGATCTTGAACTTCTGACCTCAGGTGATCCACCCACCTCGGCCTCCCAGAGCGCTAGAATTACAGGCGTGAGCCACCGCACCTGACCAAAAGTCGGTTTTCAGAGGAAAAATCATGCAAACTTAAGAGAAAACAAAATCAGGAAGAGCCAAGGTTTTTCTTTTTTTTTTTTTTTTTT